TCCCTCTGGCTGGCCAAGAATCGTCTCCTCTCTTATTTATCTTGATAAGTGGATCTTCAGCCACTACAAGATCACCTCTTGTGCGCGTTCACGGCTCTGGGCCCTGCTGTGGGGGAGGAGCCTAGGAAGGGGAGCTGAGAGCAGGGGGAGGGACTACAAGGTTGTTTCTGTTCAAAATTTTCTAAGTTTTTGGGTACCCAAGAAACTACATACAGCAGCTTTAACTGGCTCCTCTCGACGTGGAGGAGCAGCAGCTCAAGTCCCTCCCGAATGACTAAGAGAAAGCCCAAACTCTCTGTGGAGGAAACTCAGTTTGGAAACTTGTATCCAACATCTTGTTTTTTCGGTCACTACCCAAAGCTTGTGACCATAGATGGGGCTTGGAATGTTGATCAACCGGTAAATCGAGAGCTTCACCACCAGCCCATATCAAAGGGCAGGGCTCTCCAGTCTCACGCATTGATTGTGAGACACACGCATTTCAGGATGCGCACACGACACACTTTGCCTTTCTCCAGCTAAAACACACACACGCACGAATGCACACACTTTTTGGAAATGAACAAATGTGCTTCTCAATGGTTTTCTCTCTGGCTGGACAGACCCGCTCGGAAGAACCGCTCACTTTGCCTAAAAAGATCAATTTCCTGCCTTTTTTAATATATATTATTATTATTATTCCTGCATTGGGAGTTGGGGCCAACGCCCATTTATGGGCCAACCCGGGCCTGTCATGAACAAACAAACAAAAATTAAATACATGTTAGGAGTGATTTTTGTCGACCTCGATGGCCCATAAGTTGATTTTCTTGAACGACATCGAGCTGAGCCAATGAAATCTCTCTGCACTCCTCGGCTGGACTGGTCAGCCCCTCCCTTTTTGATAAGGTTATAAATCTTGCCATCAGAGACTGGCCGCCTAGAGTTGGAAAGAAGGAAGCACTGGGCAAAGCACACAGAGTAGCTGCGGAAAAAATTCAGGAAGGTCTCCAAGGGGATGCAGCAAAATGTGCAAAAGTAACCAACATATTTCCCACAGTAAGCCAAAAAATCTCTCTCCAACCGACCGTGTATATGTTATTAAAACTGGGAGGAAATTTTCAAAAAAACTCAGCCTGGAGCAGTAGGCTCTGCTCCTCGCCAGTCAGCTGGTATGTGATCCGACTGAGTTTTCCTGACAAGAAAAACCCATAGAGATTGTGTTTAAACTCCACACAGTTGACCCACCACTTCTGCCAGTGACGAGTGAAGCTCAGCGGGTGGACATGTCCCGGCTCGTCAGCTATTAGTTAGTGGTTAACCAAACCTGTGATGACATATAGATCATCAAACTACAGTCTAAGGTGTCCTGATGCCAAGAGCACATTGTGACACGCTTATGCTTGAACATGGTGTCTGTTATGGACAATCCTTGACTTAAGTCCAATAACAAAACACCACTCAGGTTTAGATTTGTGGGGGCGTTCCTCCCAGCCACACCACTCCAGGTCCCACTGTCATTGCCCACGTGAGCAGTGAAGTCCCACAGCACAATGAGGGAGTCCCCATGAGGAGAACTCTCCAGCACCCCCTCAAAGGACTCTAAAGGGTGGGTAATCTGAATTGTTGTTAGGCACGTAAGCACAAACAACAGTCAGGAACTGATGAGAGGGAGGCTACCCTCTCATTCAACAAGGGTAATCCCAACGTGCAGGCACCAAAATGGGGGGGGGGGGGGGGGGGGGTAATAAGTATGCTCACTCCCGCTCTGTGCCTCTCAGCAGGGGCAACTCCAGAGTGAAAAAGTATTCAACCCCTCTGGAGGAGACTGGTTCCAGAGCCACAGTCTAACTATATCTAGTCAGAACCTTTCAACCTCACACACCAGCTCAGGCTCCTTCTCTAACAAAGAGGTGACATTTCATATCTCTAGAGCCAGCTTCTGTAGCCGAGGATCAGACTTCCAAGGTCCTCACCTTCGGCCACTGCCCATTGCATAATGCACCCGAACCTTTCGGCCTCTCCTACCAATGGTGAGCCCATGTAAAGAGGAACCCATCTCTCCTCTTTGGGCTGTGCCCGGCCAGGCTGCATGGGCGAAAGCCTGGCCACCAGGCACTCACCAGTGTGCCCCCACCTCCAGGCCTGGCTCCAGAGTGGGGCCCCTGTAATCTGCAGTTGGGCGAGGGAACACTGAATCCATTGTTGACATTTATTATAAGAGGTCTTTTTGGCTGCACTTTGTCTGGTCCCTCACCTCATGCCATTCTCTAAGCACAAAGTACTCGTGTCCTAACCTGCACCTCCCTCTGCTGGGCATACTTGGAACTTAGCAAGAAAGCAAGAAATACATTCATCCATACATTATCTTTTGCCTGCTTCTTCCTTTCAGGGTTACTGGTCTCCATATCCAGCAATCTCTGTGCAAGTGGTGGGGGACACCTTGGTGCAGAATTTTATTTCTGAATCAAAGCGATGTAAGTATTGATTGAGAAACTTCAGTATTTATATGGTCCGACAGCCTTATTATATTAGGTTTCTGTGGATTCTCAGTCATCCAGGACATGGAAAATGATAGGTATTTTTCTAAAATACATACAAAAACAGGGGAGCAAATGAGACAATCAAACCATGGTTTAGAATCAAAGGTGAGGAGAACGCCACACAAAACAAAAATATTATCAATGAAAACAGTTCTATTTAATCCAAACAGCTTTTCAAAACTGACTGATGAGACAGCTCTTCAGTAACATGTAGGCATTAAAACATTCTTCTTTTTTTTTTTTTCAAAATGCCCTTTAAATGCTGCTTTATCATTTAGTAATTTTAAATCTCAGATAAACAA